CAACTGTATTACTGAGCAGCTTCAAGCCTTCAATGCCGGATGCCTTTATTACTGAGCAGCTTCAAGCTAATTTTACTCTCCAAGTGTAGTTTTTTTATATCCAATCACACTTAAATTTATAAAACAAACATGACCTCTTTGGCTCTTAGTGTTTTTTCCACTTAACTTTCAGATTCCTTTTGGACTTTTATTTTGGCAAATCCTTTTGGACTTTTGAGAGCCGTAAATAACATTTTCTTACGATATCAAAGTAGAAATTTTAATTGGAGTGTCCAATTAAAGTTTGAGTGCATAATGAAAATTGCTCATTATTTTTCCCACTTGTGCTTGTGCTTTCAGGGAGAAGTGAATATGTGAATTCAAGTGGTGTCCGTTTTGTATGTTATTGCAAGGTGGATGGATATTTATCTGCACTCATCCATCATTTGAGGTATCTGTTGTTTCTAATCAATTTATTTTGCTTTATGTTCATATTAATTTTTGGGAAAAGTTAGTAATGTTTATGTTCTATTCTGATTACATTTTCCAACCACGTCCTTCTGAATAGAACTCCTTTTTGAAGTTTTCTCCAAGTTTCATCTCTATTTTGAACAAATTCTTAAAAGGAAATCAAAGGACATTTAAGTAGCACGCAAAAGTACAAAACTGATTTTGAAGACCATTTTAGTTTTTTTTACGCTAAAAGACTTGCATAAAATTGAAAGAATGAATAAAATTTTATTGAGCTTGACCCACACATATCTAAATTGAAAGTACAATGAGATACAACACAACGAATCCTCAGAACCACTTTACAAAAAGGAATGTGGTCCATGTGGAATAAACAAAAAGGGGTGTGGAGTAACATTTTGAGCGTTAAACATAACCATGGACCCGGTTCGGGCCACCCGGCCCGGGAACCGGACCGGCCCGACATTGTTTGGGCCCAGCCCCGGAACCGGGTAGGCCCGGTTTTAGGGCGCGGGCTCGGGTATGGCAAATGGTGACCTAGCCCGGCCGGTACCGGGCCCGGTTCGGGCCATTTTGTTATTATTATTTTTTTTGGTTGGGTTGAGTTTAGATGGTCTGGGTTGGGTTTTCTGATGGGTTTGGGGGATGCGGGTAGGGGTGGGGGGTAGGGCATGAATTAATCAAGGAAACAAAAAAAATAGAACCTGGCCCGGCCGGGCCTAGGCCCGACCCGGGACCGGACCCGGTTGAGTCCATGACTAGTTAAACATAGAGAATCACAAAAGGTCATTTAAAAGTTTTAAACATATTCCTAGATGGGTAAGTTTGTGGAATAAAAAAACTAAGATCAACTTATTATATTCCCTTCATTGCCGTCCAAAGCGTATCAAACACGCATTCCATGTGTGCCCACTTTTATAGTTTTATTACATCTAATTAATATATTATTAAGTATATATATATATATATATATATATATATATATATATACTTACATATATATTAGTTACACTTTAATTAATATTAGTTAAATTCATTCTATTACTCCCATTAACTAGTATTAGTATACACTTTCATACATTTGTCTTATTAGTATTCACACGAATTGTTTAATTTTTCATTAAAGTAGTTAATTACTTCATTACAATTTTTTATTAATTGCTACCTTTGACTTTACTTTGAAAAACTAATTAATTCTCATTATAGTTAAAGTTAAACTATAATAATTTGATTGTTAGTAAAAAAATAGGTAGTACAAAAAACTAGTTAATTGTTAGTTTTGAGTATTTATTAAACAATAGTATTGATTAGTTCAAATAACTAGGACAAAAAACTAGTTAATTCATTACTCAATTAATTTTTGCTATAAATTTTGTACTCACATTTTATTAATATTCGCATTTTAGTTCAATTCACATTTTAATTAAAGTGCTTAACATTTCACTCGAATTGTTTTTATAAATAAATAAAAGTTAGAATTTTATTTGATCAAAGTAAACTTGTTAGATTGAAGTATTATTTAAAATAGTTTTAATTACTTGCATTACTTGTGTACTCATTATTAATATATTTGTTGCAATTTAATATTTGTTACATTTTTTAATGATCGTGAATTCTTGCTTTTCGTGAATTTAATGATCGTCACACCGCCGAACATATTTATATTTTGATTGAGCGTATTTTAATTGAGTATAATTTGAATGATAAGGTGTTTTCTATTGATTTTGATAATGCTACTAATAATACTGCTGTTATATCTAGATTGCGTGAATTATGTGGTTCTACTACTTTGATGGGTAGATTTTTTCATCAACGATGTGCATTTCATGTTATAAATTTATGTGTGCAAGACGGTCTAAAAGCGTTAAGAGATTTTTTGGAGGTAGTCAAGGGGGGATTAGACGTATTTGGGGTAGTGGTCAACTTCAATTAAAATGGAAAAAATATGTGATAGAAAGATGTGAGAAATATGTGGCTTTTCCTAAAGATTTGTCTATTCGTTGGAATAGTACTTATAAGTTAATTAGAGTCCTTCTTAGATATAAAGAACATTTTCCTGCTTTTTTAAAAGAATATGATAACTATATTATAAACTCGGTTGAGATCGGCACCTGCGAAAAAATTTGTAATGCTTTGGTATAGTTTTATAATGCAACTCAAACTTTTAGTCATACTTATAAACCTACCTCAAACCATTTTATTCGTGAAGCTGTTAATCTCGCTGGTGCTTTTAATGAATTTGAAAATGTCGTTTACGTGAATTATTTTGTTGAATCTATGAAGGATTTTTTTAAAAATATTATGCACATATTCCGCATGTTTATGATATTGCATTTGTTCTCGATCCTCGTTTTAGACTTGGTTCTTTAGAAGAATGTTTGAAGTATTATTATCTTGCCTTTTTTGGTCCTTTTCCAATGTATGACGAAGGCTCAATAGATTGAAAAAAAATACAACGAGGTTAGTGAATTATTTTATGCCTTATTTAATGAGTTTCATGCAGAATATGGCAACGCGCCCCCTTCCCCGACACAAACATCTTCATCTAAAGGAAAATCAATTTTTAAATCTACATTTGCCAATCTTACAAAAAAAACTAAAACAACTCCCGCTACTCAACAAAGCACAATTAATGAGATTGCTTTGTATTTAACTTATGACGTTGACTTTGAAGAAGATGATGAATTTGACGTTCTAAAATGGTGGAAGGGAAAAGAAAGAATGTTACCCGTTTTAGCAAACACGGCTAAGCAAGTGCTATCAAAGCCGGTTTCAACAGTTGCCGTGGAACAAGAATTTAGTTCGGCCGGCAACGTCCTTACGCAATCTAGAACGAGCTTGAGCGCGGCATCTCTTGAGACGCTTATATGCTACCACGATTGGTTGAAGGCGGCCCGTAGAGCTCAAGATATGAGCATCACCCCCTCCCAACACTTTATGGATGAATCAACAATCGAGGGTGGCTCTACCTATGCCGGAGATTCCGATTGATTAGTATTTGAAAATTTATTATAAAATGTATTTCATGTTTTTAATTTATCCTTCAATTCTCAATTGTAATTTGTAAACTTGTAGTTCATATTTCAAATAAATATACGTTCATTTTTTTTTATATGTAGCACTTCTCAAATTAATTAATTGATTATTAATTATATTATTATTTATTAGAAAATGTATTTGATATTGTTTTTTTTTTCTGAATTCTCAAATGTAGTTCCTATTTCAAATAAATGCATTTGAAGTTTATTTTTAATATTCATCACTTGTATGAATTAGTAGCAAAATAGGGGGAAAAAATTATACTTGACCTGACCCGGCCCGGTGGGTAGCCCGACCCGTGACCGGGGCGTAGGGTTGTATACGAACCGAATCGAGTCGAATAGTAGAATTTTGTATTTGTATTTGTTTAATTTTTTCGAATACAAATTCGAATTCAAATATGAAACGAATAGTAATTTCGATTTGTATTTGTATTTGTTTAATAATACGAATAGTTAACGAATCTTATACGAATATCAAATATATTTGAGCATAGGTTAAATATTGGTGAAATATCACTTTAAAATAAATTTTATTATATTTTTTTATGTTGTAAATGTACGCTATGACTTAATATGTGTTTTTAGAATTTAAATTCAATGGATCAATGTAGTTTTAGATTGTGCACGATATACTTAAGCGAATCAATTTTATGATTAACAAATATAAATCTATTTCAAACTTTTTGAAATAAACACTAACACACACACATGTTAGAAATTATACGTATAATGTGTGAAATAAGTTGATAATTGTATATATCAAAGTCAAACGACTCTAATTTTATTCTGCAAATCAAATACATAATTATTTGTATTGTATTTGAAAGACATTTGAACCAAAAATCCGATTTGTATTCGTATTTATACTCTGACTTGTTACAAATGGACTTAGAATCTATATGCATAAATGTATATATGAACTACACTTTAGAGTATTGCTATCTTTTAAAAGTTATTATAGTGTTATTACTATTATTATTATTAATATTATCACTATTATTAATCGAATATATTTGATTAATATTCGAATCGAATACACTGATATTTTTATTTGTATTTGATAACAACTCGAATCAAATTTAATATTCATATTTGTATTTGTATTTGAATTTTTCGAATTCGAATCGTCTTATATGGTAGAATTAATGAGCAAAAACCCAAAAAAGAAATAGTACCCAACCCGACCCGGCCGGTACCGAGTCTCTATTTCCCAAACCTGGTCCCGTCCTAAGCCTGACCAATCCATCCCTAGGAGTGAAGGACCTTACTAAAGATAAAAGTTTGAGAAGTGCATAACAATATCACCTAAAGTTTGTTACTACCAAATCAACGATTCCTAAATTTAACCCTCGATTTGATCGGAAATGGAGTTTAAAGGGGTGAAAATAGTATGGTTGAAATGTGCTTGGCGAGAAATAAAGAATAACATTATCTTTCTCAAGAGGAAACGAGTGAAAACAGTATGATTGAAATGTGATTAGCGAGAAACAAGGAATAAAATTATCTTTTTCGAGTGGAAACCGTGACACGGATAAAAAGGAAATCGTGACTAACAAAATCTTAAGCAAACGGCCTATTGGCAAACTAGAAATGAAAATAGGCACAGATAAGGATTGATGACATTGTTTTCTATTCTTTCGATTGAAGAAAAAAAATGCAAGAGTTATATCATACATGTCAAGTTGGAAACCTTCTGCAAAGGCAAAGGAAAAAACATTTTCAATTGAACTTTAGTAGCGCATAGGAGGGATGTTTTAACAACAGGTTATGTTGCATCACTGCATTAGAAAGACCTAATGTGGTGATATATGCTCCCAAAGAAAGGTTTGAATCCAAACAACCAAACATCAGCTGTGCACTTTGAAGCACTTCAGGTTAGGAAACATCTTGAGCAGTTGATCCCGGGTTCGATTCTAGAATATGTATGCAAAGCAAGTATTAGTCGAAGGGAGAAACATTGTCATTCTACAATTTGATCTTTGGGTTTCACTTTGTGTTTTTACCTTTATGCCAATACAGCCATTCACATCCAAAGTTGTTAGTGTTTTTGAACAAGAGCTTGCGAGTGCCTCCAGGGATTTGTCAGTCACCCCAACTATTCCAAATAAACTGCAGAAGTTGGAGAATAAAAAGTTAATGTGACAGATGTAGCAACAACTTTTCCACCTGTTCACTAAAAACATTCAAACAAGTAGTGGTTATCTCTCCCTAAGAATTTGCCAGTAAGTAAACATGAAGAAACAAGTTTACAGAACATGACAAAATTCTTTGTTAACAGTAAGCTGTGTGCTGTCAAGAAACATATATCCATGAAATGACGCACTCCCACCGTTCTCAAATACTCCCTGCCCATTAAGGACGATTTGCGGTTTTTAAGGTGACAGAGATTTTTTCATAAATTTACAAAATAGCCATATTGATTATAGGTATTAAAAAAAGTATCAAGCCAATTTGAAATGTATGTGAGGGAAACTTGATCAATTTACAAAGTTTCACTTTATTTGGTTGTGAAATGGACAGACAAGTTGCAAAAGTTAATCTACAGTTACTTGAGATTCTAAGGAACACCTTAGAAATTCAAGGGAAATGCAACCTTGCGCAATTGCTATGACCCCAATATCGGTAACTCTTACACACCTGTCAGAGATGAGATTACAATTTGTAAGTCAATACCATACACAAAAATGTTCTTTTTCCTTAGATAGTAGGCCCTGTACATAAACGTACCATGTCAGATTGAGAGACAATAGCTTTTTACAGTGTGCAATACAAGAAAGCCCATCGTCTGTTAGATTCTGATTAACGCCATTAGTCAATTGAAAAAGTGTACATAAAAACAAGTGATGACAGAACCTGCCGAAGCAAGATGTCATAAAAACAAAACCTGTAAGAGAAATATCACACCTGGGCACCACAGAGATCAAGGAATTTCAGATGAGGCAAAAGTGATATCTTCTTGTAAGCTTCATCCGTAAACCTGTGCATGGATATGTTTTGACCCTTTCAGTCGACAACATTATGAATTTATAGTTTGCATGAATTTGCAATGACAAACAAGGGGTACACACACAAACTATATATGCATCCTTAATTTCTTACACAGAAAGGGCATAAAGGTTCAGACTTTGAAGAGAAGCACATTTCAGCAATATTCTTTGCAAACCACTATCTGTCAGCTTGATGCACCTATATACGTGAAGAGATCACAAAAGGTAGGATTATATACAATACTTTTAATAGCATAATATTGCCACAAAAGTACAGTTTTTTAAATTGAGTAAGGAACAACATTTGGGAATCATCAATTCTACCTGAAAGGCTAAAATTTATACTACGTATTTAATTGTTGATTTCGCTAAGTTTGACATACTAAACTTGATTGAAACATTTTTTTTGAAATTATCTATATACACTAAATATAATGACAAATTGCTTCTTTTGTTCAAATGTGACTCGTGTTCGAGACAAAAGTAAGTTTTGAAAAAGGAATATGTTTTGGTATTACCACAAAAGGTACAGTTTTTTAAAATGAGTGAGACACAACAACTGGGAATCATCAATTCTACATAAAATTAAAATTTATTTGTTGATTGCGCCAAGTGTGACATACTTAACTTGGTTGAAACATATTTTTGAAAATATATACATACGCAATAGGTATAATGACAATTTGCTTCTTTTGTTAAAATTTAACTCTTATTTGAGACAAAAGTATGTTTTGAAAAAGGACTGTTTTGGGATGGAGGGAGTATTAGCTACTGTTATCACAAACACATTAATCATCGACTTCATATTAAAACCAGTAACAATTGGTCAATTGCAATCAAGAACTCCCTTTTTGGTAAAGGAAACACTTATCTTGCCATATGCCTGATCTATGCATAAACGAATCTACTTCATGTAATAAATGTCATACTTTATACATGAGTGAGAGAGAGAGAGACAGAGAGAGAACGCTGATCATGAAACATTGTTGCAGACTGTTTTTTACGAAAACAAAATTAAGGATCCTACACATATTTCTTAGCTTTACCTAGTGATGTTCAGTGATTCCATATTTTGATAGGTGTCAGCAATTAGATGCAACGTTTGATCTGTAATAGTCTGTAATATGCAAAAACAAAAAGGTGGAGAAATCTTTGGAAAAAGGTATTGATAGAATGAAATGGAAAGCTTTGACTCACAGAGTTCATTGTCACTAGTCACACATTAGGGGTTGTGGCAATGATAAAAACCTATCATTAATATTCCTTGTTACCCTTTCCCTTTCTTCCACTCCAATATTTGTGAGTAGCTAAAGAACTTTATGTGCCACCTAGGCTACAGTCCACACACAAAAGTGCCAAGCACACTAAAGCTTCAAAATAGATCTATTAGCCACTGATAATCAACTCTAGTGCTCCAGTAGCAATGCCTCGGCCAATGTGATTCAAAGTCCAACCCAAGGTCAGGAACAGTGGCCCACCCCCACCCAAGCCTGAACCAATTAAGAGAGACAGAATCACTATCATAAACAATCACCATGTACCTTGCATCCACTCAAATTCAAATCAACCACAAGTTTGCAGTTTCTCACTAAATGCATTATGCCAGCATCTGTGACCCTGAAAATCAATTAGCAATCACACGTGTGAAAATGAAAAATAAAGTTAAGATTAGAAAGCACGATTATCACATACATGCATAAATGCATAATGACGCTAATTACAGCTCTTAAATACCTGATATTCCAATATATGGATAATCCCTTTAGTTTGGGACAGATACTTGTTATGGCTTCAATTCCTTTGTCTGAGATCTTTTGACAGCCATTTAGATTCAATATCTCAAGGTTTTGAAGGGAATCCGCACACTGACATTAACAAATTACATGAATTTGATACTTTATTAAATGCTCATATATATGTACACTTTCACCATGAGAAAAGATATCACGTTATATATACTGTATTAATTAACAAATAGCAAGTTTGCTTCTTAATAAATTGATTAAATTCTGTTTGACTGCAGTTATCTGATGCAAGTATGCTGATTAAAAAATGAAATGTAGTGATCCCATGAATGTTGTGTTCAATCAGTGGGTATCCTCTGGACACAATTGTGTGCCAACAATTGGTTAGATAAGTGATTTTTTTAATATATAAAACATTTCATTTTATTTTAAAATTCTGATTAACCAAGTACAGATGCACAATACCGGGGGGGGGGGGGGGGGGGGGGTCACTATCTACCTTCTTCATCTTAATACATTTCTAACTGCAATCCTATAGTCCACTGAGCTGAGCAATTAAACTGAGACCTAATAGCTATGAAATGCAGAGTGGAGTATAGATGTTATATTTACAAATAAAATAAGATCTTTCTTTGATTTATACGAGTGTATGAAGGGCTACCTTTCTCTTGACATCTTGGAGGTTCCCATCTTCCACGTCCTGTGCAAACTCAAGGTTTATATGCTTCACATTCCGATATCTTTGCTGGGAGGGGGAGAAAATGTTATGTAAGTAAATCACTAGAGCTCAAAGAAATTAGGTAGGAAACGTTTCCAATTTTATGTCAATACAGTAAATCTATTCTATATCTTTTACAGGTAATTGCAAATTCCCTTCAGTCATCAATCCAGCGAATCTCAACTTTGGCATCTAAAATTATTCTTCAGGTCTCCCCCCAAACCGTTCATCACAAAAATGTAAAAAAAATCAAAATCAAAGATTCAAAGCTGACAAGAGAAAGGGCAGCCACGAGGCGATTTCCTGCATCGGCCATCTCATGAAAATCAAGTGCCTGAAAAGGAAGGGTTCCACAAGGACTAGTGAGAAAATCAAATTCACAAATGCAGAAATGAAAAATATATGTTGATGGAAGAAAGACAATCTTCAAACACATACAGAGGGGAGAGATATGGGTATGGAAGACATAGAGAGAAGCTGACCAGCCAGAGGGAGTGGTGGGAGGTGAGAGTGCGGTGAACCCAAGGGCTAAGGAGCAATAGGGAGATGAGGTCTCTCAGGGGGAGTCTGGTGCTCACTATCTTCATAACTTGTGGTACTGTTTGTCTGTTCCAAACCACGAATTCTGCTGCGGACGCTTCTTCCATTTCCTCCATCGCTCTATCCGAAAACTCTCGCCCAGTTATCAGGAGTCAGGACTAGCCAAGCTCACTGGAAGATGATTGAAAAGCAGGAAAAACTAAAAAAGAACGGAATGCCGAATGGAAAATGACATAGCTTTTTTTGGAAGTAAATGACATTGCTTTTTGTACCTGTAGAAAAGAAAAAATTGATAAGAATAATCTCACCACTGGTCTTCTTATAATAATCTCACTTTTACATAATCTCGGAATAATTTCACCATTGCACTTCATCTTCTTTCATTGGACCCTGACCAGGTTTTTTACTCTTTCTTTAAAAATCATATAAATAATCTCGCATTTCACTTTTTTATTATATCTTTATAAATGTGAGAATATTTATACAAGATTTTCAAAAAAAGGAAAAAATAACTTGGTCAAAGTCCAATGAAAGAAGATGAGGTGCAAAAGTGGGATTATTTTGGAATTATGTAAAGATGGAATTATTATGAGAAGACCAGTATAATGTGAGATTATTCTTGTCAATTTTTCTTATAGAAAAATCATTATCATTACCATTTTTGACAATGAGAATGGTCTCACAAGTCACAACTCACAACTTCATGTAATCGAAATGAATAATTTCAAAATTGAATCTTTATTTTTTTGAAAAATAGAAACTAATAATCTAAACTTTTTGGGTATCTTTTTATAATGGTCATATATGTAATCATAATTCAGAAATAATCTCATATTTGTCCCTTTTTTCATTGGTTAGTGACAATTTGATTACTTTATTTTAAGTTTTTCATTTTCTTAATAAGTTATTAAACCACAAAACCAACTTTCTTCAAATCTTCTCAAAACACCTTAGATATAATTTTTATTTTTTCTTCTAAAAAATTATCTCTCTTTTCTTTATCATCATAGTGCTTTTATTCATTTTTTCGCTTTTTTTATTTTCATTTATTTACCTTAGCTTGTTTACATATTCTCTTATTCATTTACAATAAAAGTTTTTTTTATAGAATTTTCATTCAATAGATTTTTCTTTTTTTTCTTTTTCTCCTTCATTTTTTTATGTGTATATCCTTATTCATTGTAGTCTCTCTTTTTAGATTCCTCTGACTACTTGTGTATATATTTTCTTTGAATGTAGGGGAAATTTCCAAATAGGACTTAACGAAACTTTAATTGCAAGAATAAGAGTATAACTTTAAAATTTCATAAATAGGATTAGCTTTCCAATTCTACCTTTGCTTTGTTTTCGTACAATTCATATTTTTTTAATAATTAAAATATTAAAAGTAATAACATACCCTCTTTTATAATAAAAATGTAGAAAAATAAAAAACGAAAAATAAAAATTAAATAGAATTAATAAAAGGAAAAATAGACAAGAATAATCACATCTTTCACTGCTCTTCTCATAATAATCTCACCTTTACATAATCCCAGAATAATCTACATTTGCACCTCATTTTCTTTCATTAGACCCTGACCAGGTTTTTTTACATTTCTTTGAAAATCTTATATAAATAATCTCAAATTTATAAAGATATAATAAAAAAGTGAAAGGTGAGATTATTTATATGATTTTCAAAGAGTATAAAACCTGGTCACGGTCCAATGAAAGAAGATGGGATGCGAATGTGGAATTATTATGGGATTATGTAAAGGTGAGATTATTATGAGAAGACCAGTGAAAAGTGAGATTATTCTTGTCAATTTTATCCTAAATATCTAAATTTTAATTATTAAAACAGAATTAATTATTAATAAGGATGATTTAACTTTAATATCTGGTTGACGAAAAAAAATATATGTTTGCGCATTTGAAAATATTTCACGTTGTTGCAGCCGCTACAAGCGGCTATAGGCCGCTACCGAGTAAGGGTGGATTCGGGTCGGGCCACCCGGCCCGTGGACCGGCCCGGCCCGCTACTGTGCGGGACCGGGACTGGCCCGGTTCTCGTGTCCGGGTCCGGGTCGGGCCTAGGCCCGGGGGCGGGTCCGGGCTCGGGTCTTACATTTGGCAAACCGACCCGGCCAGGTCGGGCCCGAACACGGGGTTGGGCTTGATGGTTAGGAGGGGTTTGGGAGGGTGGGGGGTGACAGGGGGGGGGGTTAGGAAAGCACCAACAAAAAAAACAGAGGCCCTACCCGGCCCGGGCCCGGTGGCTACCCGGTCCGGTCCTGGGTCCACCAATTCTGAACCGCCGGCCTGCCCGGGCCTAGGCCCGACCCGGACCCGGCCCGACCCGAGTCCATGCATGCTACTGAGATGACCGCTACCGCTGCAGCTAGTTAAAACACTGAGTATGACCACAGACCACACCACATAAACATAAAAGTTCACCATGTTTTTTATGCACAGATTAAAGCGGCGCTGGGTAGAACTGATCAATCGGGGAGTCATTACAGGGCTGGAATTGTACAAGCTGATTCAATAACAAATCTCCGCTTCTTGGTAAAAAAATATATAAATTGCCCTAAATAGGATTAAAAAGTATGGTAATTACATCACAACAAAACAAATCATGCACCACTGAAAAACTACAGAGGTAATTTTCAAGCTACCAAGTTCAACGGAAGCAAAAAAAACTTTCAGTTTCAGACTTGGGGCTGCCATGGATTTTCTTCTTCAATGTAGTACCTTGACGACCTTTGCAGCGTGTATTTAAGTACCTTTGGTTCAGACTTTTCAGTACCATAACCTTTCGGGTCCTTTGGATTTGCTTCAAACTATGCTTACCTGGTATGAGGGAAATACCAGGGTCCAGGTCTGCCATCCAACAAAATATCACAAGAAAGTTATATAGAAATGGTTATTTTAATTATTATTCTAAATTCTGACTCCATTAAAATTGAGAACCACAATTGTACTTGTTATATATTTCAAAGGCTAAAGGATCAAATAGGCCCTTGAACTAACTTAAAGTGTTCAATTAGCCCCTTATATAGAAGGTTCAGCCCGACCATCGCCAATTGGAGAGGTTCCCGGTGGATTTTTTTGATGAATTTTTTTGAACATCTTCTTCATTAAGTCTAGTTTACCCATACCAAATTTCAGCTAAAAATTCAACCCGGAAGGCAATCAAATGATTTTCCGAAATGTACTGCGTTGTTTAACTACGCAGTTATCTTCAAAAATCATTTGATTGCCTTCCCGGTTGAATTTTTAGCTGAAATTTGATATGAGTAAACTAGACTTAATGAAGAAGATGCTCAAAAAAATTCATTAAAAAATTCCACTGGGAACCGCCTCAATTGATGACGGCCGAGCAGAACCTCCTATATAAGGGTCTAATTGAACACTTAAAGTTAGTTCAAGGGCCTATTTGACCCTTTAGCCTATTTCAAAATACTAATTCGACATACATAAATATATGACAGGTGGTGGCATACCAAATTTATTTTCTTGATGTCTTGATATTTTTTTGTCTCTCTTTTTAGGGCCCCAATGAACAGATTTTTCTCGAGTTTATTTCTTCATCAGTCTGCTTATCTTTCTTTATTAAACTAACTTCACTTCTTACATCGTTGTCAAAAACCTATTTCTTTCTACCTTAATCCGTTATCTCATCACTCCGTAGTTCATTCTCTTTCATCTCCAATCCTCCCTTTATGTCATCTTTAATAAGTATCATGGACATCTACTTTCAAGTATGGACCACAATGTTCATTAGGGTGTAACTTATCCAATATCTAGTCACCCTGATTCTCAACACAACATTCTTCTATAACATATCTTTCTACCGAGTTTGACCTTGTAGTTTCAAAAAAAAACAATGTAATGAGACAAAACATTATCTTCTTCTTCATCATTCTTGTTTAACTCAGACAAAAAAAAATTGTATAGCAAGTAGCTATTCCACTTTTTGGGACAACGTCCAATGCTTTGATTTTCAAAGTATTTAGCAAACTAGCATGTGATATGCCAACAAGGAGGAGTATAGATGTACCAAAATCTACCTCACTTTCACCTAAATCAAACCAATCTCGGTCGCTATTTCTTATCCAAATCAGATATAAATCATGATGTTTAAACCTTTTCTATGCATGTGTACTCTTGAGACTCATTTTCACAAACAAAAGTTATGTGCACATACTTGGAATGAAATTCATCACATGTAGGATATGGGAAGACGTTAATATTTGAAATTATGGTTCCAATTTGTAAGTCCTCCTGCCAACCATTTATAAACTCTCTATAACTAGGGATGGCAACGGGGCGGATCGGGGACGGTTTTACATATAACCGTACCCGCCCCGTTTGGTAATTCCCCCACCCCATAACCGCCCCATTACCCAACGGGTAATTTTTATCCAAACTATAACCGTCCCAACGGGTAACGGGTATAACCGCGGGTAACCGCGGGTAATCGCTTTATTAAATGAGTCCTTTATATTTTAATATAAAAATAATATTTTAAAAGGAGAAAATGGCATCACTTAGACGACTCTAGACCCAGACGCCACTTTAAAAATACTTAATCTGAAAAATAATTAATCACAAAAAATCTGAAAATAATCAAACACAAGACTATTAAGATCTATTATAACCTTTCATTCATACACTATAGTTAGTAAATCTATTATTCATATATACACAATGAAAATAGAAAAATATCATCTTTTATTAGTTGTGGGACAAATAATAGATAAGAATGTATTAAAAATATAATTAAAAATAAACGGGGCGGGTACGGGACGGGTAATGGGGCGGGCATGCATAAAACCATAACCGCCCCGTTACCCGTAAAAATAAAATGGGTATTCCCCGCCCCGTACCCGTTACCCGGGTCAATGCGGTTTTCCCCCATTTTGACTGGGGCGGTTCAGTGTTGGTATCCATCGGATCGGTCAGAATTGCCATCTCTATGACTATAACGTACACCGCATGCACGTGAAACTTTTAATGTGTGTTGCTCACAATTAAGAATTCTATAATTGTGAGCAACAGGCGTTGGTAAGAGTTTCATGTGCAGGCGGTGTACGTGGCGGGGTTTATAAATCGTTGGCGGAAAGACTTGAGAATAGGAACAAGAATTTCAAATATTAACGTCTTGCCAATTTAGGCCCGGACCGGGCTCGGTAATGTTTAGGCCCGGCCCGCTAATGTATAGGCCCGGTCCCAGCCCGGTGG